ATGTTAACCAAACCCCATTATGTGTATTCAGTTAAAAGTTTATGTGTATTGTGTTATGAGTTTATGTGTATTCTGTTATGAGTTTATGTGTATTATGTTATGAGTTTATGTGTATTATTTTATAGTTTATGTGTATTATGTTAAGAGTTTATGTGTATTATGTATTATGTTAGATTATGTGTATTCTGTTATGAGTTTATGTGCATTCGAAACAAAGGATTTTTTTTAAACAACTTAACAAAACGACGTCGTTTTGAGAGGCGCGGGGCACACAGTGCTATGTGCACCATAGTGCACGGTATAACGATTGGAGTTTTATCTTCTAATTTGAATTATTCCTTAATTGCCTGTTGGGGAGGAAGAAACTTTGTTGAGTAAAGATATGTTTATAGAGTTAGCATTCAATGCATATATCTTACTCCATGAGTGAATGGGAGGTTTCTCTAAATCTCATAAATAGAGGTGAATGCCATTGTTGGTTATTTTATTGAGCTACAGTATGCTTTTAGATTTTATTTCTTAAAACTAATTTGCATTCCGTTTGTAATTTATTCTCCTTCGTGCACTTTTATGAACAATGACCATAAGTCAGAGAATAAATTAAGTCAAAGCAACATATTCTCAAAAAGGAAAATCTAGTAGAATGTAGCCAACGGAAGGGGAATTATTCTCTTTTTTGTTTTTTGTTTTTTATTTTTTATTTTTTTTGTTTTTGTTTTTGATGCATTTGCGATAACAATAACCTTACATATATGGAATTATGGTTGCAGATCTGCTGGTGCATCACCAATAGAAGCTCGTAGAAGAAGACGACGAAGCGTTAGCATGATTCCAGAGATCAGTGATAATATTGTAAGGTTGATCAGGGCTCTTTTTTTTTTTTTTTTTGTTCCAAAAGTAAAACACTTATGGTTCTTTAGCACATAATTTTCCTTTATGTAGTTAGCATAACATGTGTGCAGCCCTTGCATTGCGTGAGGGATACAAAAATTAATCTTTGTATTGAAAATCTGATGAAAAATTATAATGTTTTGGTTAATACTAGTTTGTAGAGGAACTTGTTAATTAATAGCTTTAATGATGCGTTTTGCAAGTCATTTTGCTTATATCTAGTGTTTGTATTTCTTACCTGTGACATTGCGTGACCTGCGTGAGTGACAACGTAGTTCTGCTTTGACAACTCACTTTGAACTCGTGACAGAAGAATCCACATTGAGATTCATTATAGAAAGCATTCACGAGAAAAAACAGTTTAACATTATCACAATTAGCTATTTACTAGAATTAGAAATTCCGTAAAATTAGTACAATAAAACAAAATAGGAAGTAATGGCCCTCCCTCCCCCCGTCCCCCAAAAAGATAAGGAAATTGCAAAGGCTACTAGGCTAGTGAATAATTTTAACTTTTTTTTTTTTCTGTGTACAACAGATTTATAGGCTATTATATTCTCTTTTGCGACTATTCTTTAATGAAATCTTGCAGGGCTGTGCGAGCAATGAATGAAGCTGTCAAACAAAGCCGACCACCAAGGGAACAAGACGGTTCAACTCTTGATTTTTTTGCAGGGAAAAGAGATGATTCAGATCATCACGCAAGTGTATGTTCTTCTCTTGATGCTTTCTTAATCTGTTGTTATAATAGTAGCCACTTTCTTGAGCTTTGCAATGTACCACTTATTCTGTAATCTCTCCACTTCTCCTTTATCTTTCTTTTTTCCTATCCTTTTCCCCCATTAAAATTGGTTTGAATTTGCTAAAATGCTTCTTATCATAATTCATATCACTTTAGATTTCAAAGAAATGTTGTTTTTGTTTTTATTTTTGTTTAGCATAGATCAATTTCTCTGATATTGTCCAGTAATAATACTTTTTGAATTTTGATTTCATACTATCCTTATATGCTTAGAAATCGAATAAAGTTCGTTGAAATTTTTACTATATGAGGACCTTTTTATTTGACATTGTGAAATTTGTCTCCAACTGCAATCTTTGATGCCCATTTGTGTATTTCTCGCTTCTTAGGGATCTATCGATCTTGCATATAGTATATGGGTGTTCATGTAGACTTGTATCCGTTCTTAATCAATTCATTTTCAGTCTGTTCTAGATTAGAGTAATTTATACACTCACTTTTAATGCTTTTCTGATCTGTTTTCATCGTTCTCTGTCTATAACCACATACTACCAATTGCCAGGCTTTGAGGTTCCATCGTGATGAGCATGATGAGGATAGTGGTAGAAGTAGCCGAGCATATGATTTTCAGAGAAGGCAAATAAACTCTCATAAAGCGATCTCGTTGCCTTCATCCCCTCAGTATATAAAAAATCAGATCCCTGGTATGGCCGATGGATCAGGAGTTTTCAAAAATCCTGATATGATCTCAAGATTTGATGAAGTGCTGGAATCATCAAAACTTGTGAACAAGCCATTATTACCATACGAGGAGTGGAATATTGATTTCTCGGAAATAAATATTGGAATACGCGTTGGGATTGGTATGCTTTACACACGAAGTCCCCTATATCATCCGTTAATCACGTGATTTTCATTCTTTCCTAAATTCAACTAATGAAACTATTGCCCTTCTATAGGATTTTTCGGAGAAGTTTTTCGTGGGATTTGGAATGGAATCGAGGTTGCAGTAAAAGTTTACCTGGAACAAGACTTGAGCACAGAAAACATTGAAGATTTTGCCAATGAAATATCTTTATTGAGGTAGTTTAGTTAAATAACTGTTGTCAATGTTTTTCTCTCTTGCTTCCTTTCATACTTGGAAAGATCAAAAGAAAAACTTCCTTTTATCTGACTTTTCTTTCCTTTGTGTCCATCTAACAGCCGTATTCGCCATCCAAACGGTAATTCACTCTGCTCATTCATTTTATTCATTCTGCGTAAGATATATAAAGACAACTGATCCCACGTCTTCCCCCCCGAGAATTTTTCTCTTTTGAACTACAGAAACCATGATTAGCTAAATGTGTATTCTCGTGTAGTCATTCTGTTTCTTGGTGCTTGCACAAAACCTCCTCGGTTATCCATGGTAACTGAATTTATGGAGATGGGATCACTGTATCATCTGATCCATGCGAGTGGGCAGAAAAATAAACTCAGCTGGCGAAGGAGGCTGAAAATGCTTTGCGATATATGCAGGTGCATCTACTAAACAACGATTAATAAATGCTCGTGTTAAACGAGTATTATTCTATGCTGAAGTTCTTTGGCTTATGCTCGTCCTATTTTGTTGTATCTATGTTGTCTTGTCGCAATTCTGCTGCTTAATGTTTTCTTACTGATAAGCTAGGGGCTTGATATGCATTCACCGAATGAAAATTGCCCACCGGGATCTAAAGAGCGCAAACTGCCTTGTAAATAAAAACTGGAAAGTCAAGATTTGTGATTTCGGCCTCTCCAGGTTACTGACTACAACCCCCATGAGAGATTCTTCAGCAGCCGGTACTCCAGAATGGATGGCCCCCGAGCTCATCCGCAATGAACCCTTCACAGAAAAATGCGACATTTTCAGCCTTGGCGTTATAATATGGGAGCTCTTCACACTCAACAGGCCATGGGACGGTGTACCATCTGTCCAGGTAATCACCATTCACCATCAGTGTTGCAAAAATCGCGCCTTTGCGCCGATTAATCGGCGCTTAGGCGCTAGGCGGTCGGACTCCTAGGCGCTCTAGGCGGTCCCCAGGCGCCTAGAGGGCGCCTAGCGATTTTTTCAACATTGTTCACCATTGTACCGCTTTTGAACTACAGAAACCATGATTATTCTAGATTTTGCCCAAGTCACACCCACTTGGGAGAAGACCTGACCCAAATCGAGCTTTTTTAACATGGTGCACATATAAAAGAGTCGATCCTATTCCTACCCTACGACCATTTACTCCAAGGCTATCCTCTCATAATTGGTGCCTAAGTAAACTAGTTTATCGTGTTCTTAAACCAGGTAGTATATGCTGTCGCTAATGATGGAAAACGGCTATCGATCCCTGAAGGTCCTGTGGGGAAGCTTATAGCAGGTTCTTGAAATTGTGTTCTTTCTTTTATAGCTCTTGTTTCAGGCATGTTTTGGCTATGTTGAGTCTTACATTGTAGAGATTTTGTGTTCCCAGATTGCTGGGCAGGACCAGATGAAAGGCCTAGCTGTCAGCAAGTTTTGTCAAGCCTGCTTGAACTTGAGTACACTGTTTACTAATGGATTCTTCCCATCTTTGATGAAACACAAAATGAATTGTCTGAGGAATCTGTAAATATTGCGTTTTATGTTTAAGATTTTTGGCTTCTGAACAGATTACTTTTCAACACTGCCATTCACAAAATTGAATTTTGTATATCTGCAACTCAAATTATAAGTTTCAAACACTTCTTTAACAGCTGCATGCATGTAACAAATCACCTAAAATAATGCTGATTGGAGGCCTGAAAGGCAAGTTCAGCATTTTGTCACCGTCGCCCAATGTGGTACCAAGGTGACAATTACAGAAGTATAAAGAAATATAGTAAAAAACTCTTATAACAAGACTGGCCTAAAAGGTCAAGTTCCGCATTTTGTCACTGTCGTCCAATATGGTACCGAGGTGACAATTACACAATATAAAGATATATAGTATAAAGATTTTATTACAAGACCGGCCTGAAAGGTTAAGTTCAACATTTTGTTAACGCCACCCAATATGGTACTGACGTGATTGTTACACAAGGCCAAGTTTAGAATTTTATCACCATTGCCTAATATGGTACTGACGTGACTGTTACACAAATATACAGAAATATAGTAAAAAGCACTTATAACAAGACCATTTGTAATGTGCTTGGCTGAAGTCATGTCATCTGTCAAAACACAAGATAATGTAATACCTACATCTAAAATGAATATCGTGAAGTAATTAACATTACAAACTGATTATTACAATATTTTCAGCAAGACCTATAGTATTTGGTCTACAGGTATTGCCTATATCAAGAAATATGAAAATTGTAGCTGTTTCAACGATTAGAAGCTGAAAAGAAGTATATATAAGTAACTCGTTTGTAACTCAACGACAAATATAGCACGAAAAAACAAAAAAACAAAAAAAACAAAAAAACAAAAAAAATTGACTTCCCTTGTCAAGGTGCTCTTGGGTCCATTCCATTCTGCCAAACATAAACGAGTTCATCCCATCCTGTGCTCGCCAAAAGACCTTCCACAAGAACACTCATATCCACCCCGACTGCAAACTCAGTATGATGATCGTACCTTCCAATAAGAGCATCTTCCACCATATAATCCCACATGCAAACTGTCATATCATAAGAACACGACAAAAGTACACTTCCTCTATGCGGTGAGAATCGCACTTTCCTAACTGCATACCCGTGCCCATTAAGCACCGCTATTGGCACCCTGTAATTCCTCACATCCCAAACTTTAATCGACTTGTCAACCGAGGCAGTTGCAATGATACAATCGTCATACTTGTTCCAGTCGCACGAGAGGATTTCGTGCTCATGCGCAGGCAGAATCATGGTAGAACCTGTCAAAAAATCCATGTCAAATAATTTGAATGATAGATAGTAGTTTTACTACTCCGTAATTGAAATCTAGACAGCAAGATATTCAGCAATCAAAGACGTTAACTTTCTATCACATAACTAAAGAACTTTTCCACGTTTCGATGTGTTCTCTTCCAGCTAAAAGATGCAGTCTCACCAATCCATCTAATTCGTTTAACCTCACAACTATTGAACATTTAACAAAGAAACTTCCTATGACTTGGCAGGTTGCCAGGTTCTCTTTTTTTTTTTGCTCCCAAATGGGAGGTTATAAGTTTGACCCCCGGTGGGGGCAATATTGACTCTTTGTGCTTCAGTAGGTTGAGAAAGTAGCTATGATCATATACTACATTGTAACAGTGTCAGTAGTACTAACAAAAAAAAGAGAATCACAAAGTCATTGGCGGTTGCCAAGTTCTCTCTTTCAATAAATTTAGCATATATTTAACTAACTAAAAACAAGTATGCATTGGTTATCCTAGTAAACCTAGAAACATTTCCCAACTAGATAATTAAGATTACTAAGCAATGGGGCAACCCTAGCCAAATTGGTCACGGTTGCTTGATAAACACAAGATTCCAATTTCGACTCCCAATATGAGCAGCCTATTGGCCTTCTTGAACTTGAGCCGGTCATCTATACTGTTTTAGCATCCTTTGCCAGATAGGGTCACAAGGTAAGGTTTATCCAAAACACAACATCAAGTAGTGGCTACAATTTTCCTAGTCACCCAAACTAGTCCCAATACGAACGGCCTATGGCCTTCTTGGTTTGAGCCGGTTATCAATAGGCAACCTATGCTGTTTTAGCATCCTTTGCCAGTTAAGGTCACAAGGTGAGGTTTATCCAAAACACAACATCCAGTAGTGGCTACGGGTTTTCCTAGTCACCCAAATTGGTCACGGTTGGCAAAATTTCAAGTTCGACTCCCAATATGAGCGGCCTATTGGCCTTCTTGGTTTGAGCCAGTCACCTATACTGTTTTAGCATTCTTTGCCTGCTAGGGTCACAAGGATAGTGGCTGCGGGTTTTCCTAGTCACCCCAAAAAAAAAACAAAAGATTACTAAGCAATCATAGAATCCCCTTTGTAGCTTCCTGTGAAATAATGGATTTAATAACATTCCCAGCTCCAAGAACAACAATGGCAAACAACAATAAAGTTGATGAAAATCATGGTTCTAATAAGGTAGAATTTATGATTAAATTTAGAATTGAAAAGTAGATTACTGAGAGTGAGAATTGAAGTGAATGTGATCTCTAAAGAAGAGCAATGAAGAACCTGGTTCTCGAACATCCCAAATACGGGCAGTAGAATCGCCGGAAGCCGAAGCAAAGACATCGGCGTGTCTGGGATTCCACATGGCGGAATAGACGCAGTAAGTATGCTCCTTGAAAGTCCTAACGCTAGCATTCCTATCCACGGTCCAGAGCTTCACCGTATCGTCCCAAGAAGCCGACAAGAACGAATCTTTCCGGACGGTGTTGTAATCGACGCCGTGGACTTCTCGGGTGTGCTCCTGGAAGGAGCGGACGGGGTTGTTGGTGGGCGGGAGAGCGATGTCGTAGAGCTTGATGGAGCCGTCGCCGGTGGCGGCGATGACTAGGGAGTCGTGGGCCTCGGACCAGCAGACGTCGTAGACGCCGTCGGCGGTGTCGAAAGCGGCGAGCTGGGAGATTGGGCCGTTGGGGTTCAGCTGGAGGACGTGGACCCGGCCGTTCCCTAAGATGCCGAAATTCTGGGCGGTTGCCACGGCCAGTTGGTTCTCGTAGAATGGGCTGAATTTCACGGAGTAGCCATTGAAGGGTGTCTTGAAAATCGGCATTTTTACGGTGGTTCTAGCCGATGATTGTGGTGGTTTCCGGTCAAGTGTTTACTTCTCGGGCGGAGGAATCTATCTTAATTTTCTGTTTTGTCGTGTTTAGTAAAGCAATACGGAGTATTTTTTTTGTTTTCTAAGAAATATAAATAGATTTAGGAGTTTAGGGGTTTAAATAGATTTAGCAGTTAAGATAGATATAGAAAATTCGATGATTTTTGTTAATTAGAAATAAAAGAACTTCTTAAAAAAATTTAAGTAGCATCTCTACATCGAGGGTGCATCAAATATTAATCCTATTATAAAATATAGTGTAATATAATTCATATTCCTAATCTATATATATATATATATATATATATATATATATATAAAATCCTGAACTTTAACTTCCCAACCAATTCCTAAAAAATCTCTGTTTCTAATGAAATATATTATTTTTTACTTTCATATTCCTACTATAATTCTATGTTAAAATTCATTTTCTAATATTATAAAATACTGTAATACAATTTCTATTCTAATCTATACTATCTATACTATATATATATACAAAAAACAAAATCCTAAACTTTAACTTCCCGCCTAATTCCTAAACAATCTCTATATCTAATAAAAATATATTGTTTTCTACTTTCATATTCGTACTATAATTCTAAATTAAAATTTCTATTATAATATTATATAATAGTGTAATACAATTCCTATTCTAATCTATACTCTATACTATATATAAAAACAAAATCCTGAACTTTAAATTCCTGCCCAATTCCTAGAAAATCTCTCTTTCTAATAAAAATACATTGTTTTCTATTTTCCTATTCGTACTATAATTCTATGTTAAAATTTTTATTCTAATATTATAAAATAGTGTAATACAATTCCTAATCTAATCTATTATATATATATATATATATATATATATATATATATATATATATATATATATATATATATAACAAAATCCTAAACTTTTAACTTCACGGCAAATTCGTAAAAAATCTCTTTTTCTAATAAAATATATTGTTTTCTACTTTCATATTCGTACTATAATTCTATGTTAAAATTCCTATTATAATATTATTATAAAATAGTATAATACAATTTCTATTCTAATCTATATATATATATATATATATATATATATATATATATATATATATATATATATATATATATATACTTCTATACTATATATAAAAACAAAATCCTGAACTTTGAATTCCCGCCCAATTCCTAAAAAATCTCTCTTTCTAATAAAAATATATTGTTTTCTTACCCCAAAAAATATATTGTTTTCTACTTTCATATTCGTACTATAATTCAAGGTTAAAATTTCTATTCTTGTATTATAAAATAGTGTAATACAATTCATATTCTAATCTATACTATATATAAAAATAAAATCCTGAACTTTAAATTCTTGCCCAATTCCTAAAAAATATCTCTTTCTAATAAAAATACATTATTTTCTATTTTCCTATTCGTACTATAATTCTATGTTAAAGAAATATGATATTACTAATTGACTGAAAATATAAAAGAAAATGTATATTAATAATTGACTGCAAATAAAAAATGATCCGTAATTAACTAAAATGAAAAAAGAAATGATCAGATCATTGCATTTTAATTAAAAATGGAACGGAAATTAAAAATTAGACGAAAATATTTCAATAATAATATTCTACATCATCCATAGTAAATTCATATTTTAAATAATAGTAAAGGTAAATTAAAAATGGAACTAAAATATTTCAATAATAATATTCTACACCATCATTAAAAATGGAACGAAAATTAGGTAAAAATATCACAACATTTGATATTCTAATTGACTAATTGTTTGAAGAAAAAAAAAAGAATAATTGGCTGAAAATGAATCTGATATTACTAATTGACTAATAATTATTATGGTAATTAAGTTAAACATGGATCGTTGGATTTATTTTTATAATAATTACAATTAAATTATTTATCCTTTCTTCTCCTATTTATTTTAGTAATAATATAATTACATAAATTATATTATATATCGATTTTTTAAAGATGATTGTAGACAAATGAGTAATATATTATTCAATTAATTGAGTGATACTGAAGGAATTATGTGGATATTGAAGTGACAGTACCGGGGTGTGCGACATGGCGTATGACTGGATTTTATGGCTATCCGGAGCGTAGTCGAAGGCAAGAGGCGTGGGATTTATTACGGACTCTGTCGGCCCGATCACAGCTACCATGGGTTGTGATTGGTGATTTCAATGATTTGTTGTTCCAGAGTGAGAAGCGTGGGGGAAATCCACATCCGAATGGTCTCCTACGCGGTTTTGGGGAAACCATAGATGATTGCCAACTGGCTCAGATGCCCATGCAAGGATATCCGTATACGTGGAAGAAAAGGGAAGGGACGGTGTACTGGTTGGAGGAGAGATTGGACAAGGTGCTGGTAACTGAGTCATGGAGGAGTTTGAATGTACAGGCCAGTGTATTAAACATGCTGACGCGCAGGTCTGACCATTCGGCTTTGTACCTGGAAATCCGAGATGGTATAGGGGGGGTGGGACATGGGCCAAAGAGTTTCAGGTTTGAAATGGCTTGGCTGCATGATGAGGGGTGTAGGGAGGTGGTGGAAAGGGCTTGGGGGGAGGGGAGAGTAATGGGTTTGCAGGATTGTCTCCAGCTTTGTGGGAGGATGTTAAATGCCTGGGGGGTGATCGTTTTCATAAGTTTGGGGCCCAAATAAAACGATTGCTCAAACAGCAGGACCGACTGAGGGGGAGGCGGGATTTAGCCTCATTGGCTGAATTTCGTCATCTAGAAGCTGAGTTGTGCAGATTGGAGGCAATGGATGATGCTTTCTGGAAGCAAAGGGCAAAGCAACATTGGCTACAAGGGGCGGATGCGAACACCAAATTCTTTCACAGGTATGCTTCTGACCGTAGAAAGAAAAATGCATTGAATAGAATTAAAACTACTGATGGGGTGTGGGTGGAGGGAAATGCAATGAATCAAACTGTTATGAGTTATTTCCATGAGGTTTTCAGTTCGGGAAATTCTCCGGATGTAACTACTAATTTATTTGAGTTGATACAACCCAGAGTGACACATGCACAAAATGACACGCTGAATGCCCCCTTTACTGCTGAGGAGGTAAAAAGTGCGTTGTTTGATATGTTCCCTGATAAATCTCCGGGACCGGATGAAATGAATCCGGGCTTCTACCAAAAGTTCTGGGATGTGGTGGGGGGTGATGTTTCTGCCTTTATTATTAATTGTTTGAATAATGGTTCATTCCCAAAGAAGTTAATAGTACGAATGTGGTACTAATCCCAAAGAAAAGCTTGCCTGAATATGTGACAGACCTGCGGCCAATTGCATTGAGTAATGTGGTGTACAGGATAATGGTGAAGGTGATAGCAAACAGAATGAAACCGTTGATGGAGGGTTTGATTTCAGAGTCTCAGAGTGCCTTCATACCGGATAGACTAATAACAGACAATATACTGATAGCTGCAGAGGTAGGCCACTACCTGAGTAGGAAACAGTGTGGTGTGGCAGGATGGGGAGCCTTAAAGCTGGATATGGCTAAGGCGTATGATCGGATGGAGTGGAAGTTTTTGAAACAGATGTTAACAGCCCTGGGATTTAGTGAGAAGTGGATTGATTTGATAATGCATTGTGTCACCACGGTTTCTTATGATTTTATGATAAATGGCTTGTCAGCGGGGCAGGTGGTACCCACATGAGGTTTGAGACATGGAGATCCTCTATCTCCGTATTTATTTATAATATGCGCAGAAGGATTATCTATGCTTTTGCAAGAGGCACAACAATGTGGGAAAATACATGGATGCAGAGTAGCCAGGGGAGCACCGCCAATATCCCATCTGTTTTTTTGCAGATGATAGCTTGCTTTTCTTTAAAGCGAATGTTGTGGAAGCCGGGGAGGTAAAACGATGCTTGGTTGAATATGAGGCTTTGTCTGGTCAGGCAGTAAACTACCATAAGTCCAGTGTGTGTTTTAGTAAAAATACAACAGAAGATTGCAGGGATCAGGTAGCGCAGCTATTGGGTGTTACGAAAGCAGCTGATTTTGGCAAGTATTTGGGCCTGCCTTCGTTTATTGGGCGGAGGAAGAGGGCGGTATTCTCGTATATTGAGGACAAGATAAAACAGAGAATAGGCACGTGGAATAAAAGGCTGTTATCCCAGGCAGGGAAGGAGGTACTCTTGAAAAGTGTAGCACAATCAATGCCTACTTTTTCTATGAGTGTGTTCTTGCTACCTGAAGCAGTATGCCAAGCGATTCAAAGAGCAATGAATAAATATTGGTGGGGATCTGGGGGGGACCGTCGTATTCACTGGAAAGCTTGGGACAAGTTGTGTGTTCCGAAGAAGTATGGAGGTTTGGGGTTCAAAGACCTGCGAGCTTTTAATTTAGCAATGCTGGGTAAGCAGGGGTGGAGGTTTCTGGTTAAACCTGAGTCCTTGGTAGCACGAGTTTATAAGGCAAGGTACTACCCGAAAGCATCATTTGAAGAGGCGGCATTGGGGAATAATCCTAGCTTTTGTTGGCGGAGTATTTTTGCAGCACATAGCTTGATTTGTGGCGGGATAAGGAGGAGGATAGGGGATGGTAAGGATACTTTAATATGGGGACACCCATGGCTACCTGATGGCCCAGATCCGATGATACAAACTGATATGCCCCAAGAATTGACAGGTTCAAAAGTAGTGGGTTTGATTGATCAGGATACTAGAACCTGGGATCCGCATATACTCAGGGACTTATTTGAGGAGAGTGATGTGGAACGAATCAGCAGAGTACCAGTGTGCCCGGATTACCCGGATATGTGGTATTGGCAGGGGGACCCGAATGGAAACTATACAGTAAAAGGGGGATATAGGCTTGTTGTTGGAAATTATGAGCACAGGAACATGGATTTTAATGCCTGGTTACATATGTGGAAATTGAAAGTACCTCCTAAATGGAAATTATTTATGTGGAAAGCTTTGAGTGGTGTTCTCCCCACCACAACTAATCTTATCATGAGGAGAGTAGAAGTTGACCCAATATGTTCGATGTGCATGAATTACCCAGAAAATACAATACATGCTTTAGTGTC